GACATACAGTACTATGATTAATGAACAGGAAATAAAGCAACTTTAGGAGACAAAGGAGAAGGGACAACATGGGAATTTAAGGATATTTCACCTATATGACAGGGGTTCCCAGCCACTTACATATCAGTAATGATACTTCAGGCTTGTATTGCTGGTATCCCAAGTTTTGCCTTGTAGAGTCTCACGGTGCTACCACTAACCCAACACACTTGCCTTGGAAGCTTAAGATCCATAGGACTCGTTACACGATAGCATCTTCTCTAACCTCCCAGGGTGTAGTTTCAAAGGCACAAATAACAGCTAGGCACCTAGGGTAGTTAGGTAACTAAATGTCATTTGTGCCTTTGAAAGCTGTATCTTTAAATCCAATATCTTTACATTTTTCAGTCCCCAAAACTGTTAAGCCTTTGTGTCTCACTACTCCTGATTCATATGGCAGGAAGATACCCGAGTGACCTTCATACGCACTAAACTAGGTCTTCGAGATGCTGAAACAACACAGAATTCATACTGCCCCTTTCTGACATATTAGAAAAAAGTAAACATCTGAGGTCACAAACCACGGCTAGAACACCTGCCACGGTCCTCGCCTTTGTAGGCTCACCGCAGTTTATAACAGGGCATTCCAGATCCTGCAGGAGCAAGGTGACAACATCCCAGCACAGCAACGTCTTGATTCAGTGCTAGGATAACACAGAGCTGCCACGACACATTAGGGCAAAGCTACGCCTCGGGATGACCCAGAGCCGGGCACTGGTGGCACAACACGACACCCTGCTGCCCCAGGGTGCGGTGACATCACGCTCCACCATGTGCAGCCCCAGCACCGGGCGGCGAGCACGCCGGGACACACGGCTCTGGCAGGGCGCGAGGACGCGGTGACCCGTTGCCATGGCACGGCACACCTGCCCGACGGGACCCCGAGACACGACACGACACCCCACACTACCCTGCACCTGGAGCGACCTTAAAGGGGCCGCGCCCGCCCGAGCCCGGGACCCGGCACTTACTAGACTCCCCGCCGGCTGCCGCCATCCTGCTCCCTCCTCCTACTTCGTTCTGCCGCGTCTAGCCGACTCCTCTCACAGGCTGATGCAAGACCGCGTCCGGATGGAAAACCATTGTTCCGCCTCTCTACGACACTTCCGGTGACCGCAAGGTAACCAGGCAACGGGGAGCAACGCACCTCCAAAGCCGCCGGAGTCACGTGACGGAGCCGGCGATATTAGAGCTTAGTGCGCGTGCGCGAATGGGATGGCCCTGTCCTGTCTCTGCTTGCCAGCTGCCGCCCCCCTTCCCGAGGTGGGGTCTGCGAGCTCCTTCCCTCCCTCGCCCGGCTCTGGGAGGCGGGGCTTGTGAGGCTCCTCCCCCTCCCTCTGCTTGGTCCCTGCAAAGAGGGGGCGGGGCTAGCCAGGGGTACTGTGCTCCCCCTTCCCTGCAGGAGTTAAAGCCTGAGAGCTTCCCCGCCCCACTGAGCCAATAGGGGAAGGACCTGCACACACCCCAGGCCAGGAGGCCATGCTCTCTGCAGGGTGGGCAGTGCTGCCACCCCCTGGCATGCTGAACACCATGCATCAGACCCCTCCTAGGGTGACCAGACAGCAAGTATGAAAAATTGGGACGGGGTGGGGTGGGGTGGGGTGGGAATAGGAGCCTATATAAGAAAAAGACCCAACAATCAGGACTGTCCCTATAATATTGGGACATCTGGTCACCCTACCCCCTCCTCAACCCCAAAACCTTGATATTGGCATAAAATAATGAGTTGTAAATAATAAATCATGGGTTCTCTATATTTGCCTTCTGGCTGCTGAGCCTTTAGGGCACCCTCAGGTCACACTTGCAAGGCACCTTCTCTCCGCAACCACGAAGGCTAGAAACGTGCATGTATTTTAAAACGGAAGGTGGGAGTCTCTCTGAATCAGATGACTCCAGGAGCGGGGGTTTTAAGGAAAACACCAACTATCAGAAGAGTCGGGATAAAATCACACAAGAGTTGGCACTACAGAGAATTCTAGTTTCTATTCATCCAATTTACCCATGCCATCATGGTTGCTATAATAATGACACAGCTGCCATAAGGAGCTTAAGATAAGAGCAGGTAGAGACTGAATTGTAGAAGGCACTTGGCTGACTATAGATATTTTGTGCACAGAAGAGCACTGTTGTAGGCAGCCCGAGCACTGCAGGAATACTTCAACTCTGCAGATCCAAGCTGAAGGCCTGGGTTCATATTACATAGCTGCAAATTAATACAGCTAGAAGTCAAATGGATAGATGCACCATAATTAAAATACAGAGGAGATAGATGCAGTGCAGCAGGTTTTACTGCACTCTGAGGGATCCAGCCTGCCAGGGTCATTGCTAGCAAGATCGGGACCGCTCTGTTCTAGAATGACAGCTTCCCTGTTTTTCTGTGAAAAGTTTTTTCAAATCCAGATTTGTATTTACCTACTCTCTTCTTCCAGCTCATCAAGAAAACATGCAGAATGAGGAATCTAAGCTGAGGGTATGATTCCTAGCCAAGAGTATTAAAATTGCTTTCCCTTCCCTATCTATACTTGTCTGCCTCGGTAATCAAAGTAAGGAGTAGGCCATTGTTTTAACAGTGCTGATGTTACTTAGTTTCAGTTCTAGCCAGAGCATCATGATAAGCAAGCTCATGAAGGGAAGTGTTTATGCTCCTCTAAACCAGTGGTTTTCAACCTATTTACCATTGAGGGCCACATATGCAGCTCTCCATGTGTTATGCTTCCACACAATATATACACTACCTGTATGGCCCTGAGGATGTCACATGGGCTGCAGCTGTATGTTGATTGGGCTGCAAGCAACCCACAGGCTGAGGACCACCGCGCCAACCAGAGGATCATAAAAAGCAAGAGAGAGTCCTGTGGCACCTTTAAGACTAACAGAAGTATTGGAGCATAAGCTTTCGTGGGTGAATGCCCACTTTGTCGGATGCTTGTAATGGAAATTTCCAGGGGCAGGTATAAATATGCTGGCAAGAATCAGTCTGAAGATAACGAGGTTAGTTCTAGCAGTTGAAGTGTGAACACCAAGAGAGGAGAAACTGCTTATGTAGTTGGCTAGCCATTCACAGTCTTTGTTTAATCCTGATCTGATGGTGTCAAATTTGCAAATGAACTGAAGCTCAGCAGTTTCTCTTTGGAGTCTGGTCCTGAAGTTTTTTTGCTGTAAGATGGCTACCTTTACATCTGCTATTGTGTGTTCTCATAAAAGGATAAATAGACACAAGTCAGATATCAGGAATGGCAACATACAAAAACCTGTAAGAGAACACTTCAACCTCCCTGGCCACACAATCGCAGATGTACAGGAACTCCTCACTTAAAGTCATCCCAGTTAACCTTGTTTCGATGTTAAGTTGCTGATCAATTAGGGAACATGCTGGTTTAAAGTTGTGAAATGCTCCCTTGTTGTTTGGCAGCCAGCTGTTTTGCCCACTGCTTGCAGGAAGAGCAGCCCACTGCAGCTAGCTGGTTGGAATCAGGGTTGACCAGAAGGCCCCCTAAGTTCCCTGTGCAGCAGCTGTCCCTCACCGCACTGCCATGTGCTGCTCCTGCCCTCTGCCTTGGAGCTGCTCCTAGAGACTCCTGCTTGCTGTATGGGGGGAGGGGGAAGAGGGGAGCTAATGTCAGGGTGTCTCCTCCCCCCCCCCCGCTCCTGCACCCCACTTACCCCATCTTCCATACTGCAGGGGGGACACACACAACAGAGGGAGCTTCTAGGCAGTAGCTGCGGTCTCAGATCTCAGCAAGCTGATTTAATTAACAAGTCAGTGTACTTAAGCCTGGGATCAGCTACTTAAAGGGGAATGCACATTTTTTCTCTCA